CCTGGCTCAGCAGCAACATCCGCGCCAGCACCAGTGCCACGAGAAGTCGTCGACACCACTACCACGGGTCCTAGTGTTGCACAACCTGGACCAGGCAGAACGCTGCAGCGCTTGTGCACGAAGTGCCAGATCACCGCGTTCCAACGACCCTTCTACATGCTCATGATTATGAAACTACTCCCAGTTCAGTGGGGTGACCACGCGGAACTCTTGCTGCGAACGTCCTGGTCGACAGCCTGGGGTGGAGGCATGGTCATCAACGCCTTGCTCTTTAAAGGGGAGCGCATCGTGCCAGAGAGCGCTGTTGATGTGCGGAGGAACGCTTGGGATCAGTGCTACTACCAGAGCTGCAGAGCGAATGGAGTGTTTGCTTGCATTCTGCATCACAGCGAGTTCGGTGACCGCCTCTTGCAAATCGGCTGCGAGCACATCCCTGCTCAAATGACACGGCTGATTGTTAACTTGCAGCGTTTCTGCTACAAGATCTGCGAGTTGCGGAAGGGGAACCAGTCACGACGATCTGTGTACTACTGGTTATTCGACACAGTCCCTGCGCGCCAAGGGTGGCTCGGGCGACTCCACGACAGCGGGGAAGTTGTGGTCGCACCACTCTGGTGAAACCGCATATTCCAGCGCCGATGATGCCCGCCGAAACAATGCGGAACAGCTTGTTGCACCGATCTGGGAGTTGCTGCGGCTGTGCAATTTCGTAGAAACGTTCGGTGTAGCAAGTGTTGCGCAACCTTGCTCAATGCCAAGTCGTGCGGTGTAGGCCGGATCCGGAGCAGTCTCAAGCACACCCGCTGAGCGAATGCAGAAACATGCGTGTGTGTCTGTGCGCAGGCAAAACAAAAGCAAAACCAAGCCAAATCAAAAACAAAAGCAAAGCAAAAGCAACAGCAAAAACAACAGCAAAAGCAAAGGCAAAGGCAAAAGCAAAGGCAAGAGCAAAAGCAAAGGCAATGCAAAGCAAAAACAAAACCAATGCGAAAGTGTAGATGTATATGTAGATGTATGTGTAGGTGTAGATATGGGTGTAGATGTAGATGTAGATGTAGATGTAAATGTAGATGTAGATGTAGGTGTAGATGTAGGTGTAGATGTGAGTCTCGCTGTTGATGTAGATGTAGATGTAGATGCAGGTGTAGATGTATATGTAGCTGTAGGTGTATATGTAGATGTAGGTTTAGATGTAGATGTAGGTGTCGATGTCGATGTAGGTGTATATATATATATATGTAAATGTAAAGAACTCCCCAGTGCCCAGCCCTCATCTCCGTGCCTGCTTGCTTTTGCTGCTGTCTCGGCGACTTGCTGCCTGCTTCTGCTGCTGCTTCACTTACGGCGTGGCGTCGGCGGTTCTGGCGCTACTACTACTACTACTACTACTACTACTACTACTACTACTACTACTACTACTACTACTACTACTACTACTACTACTACTACTACTACTACTACTACTACTACTACTACTACTACTACTACTACTACTACTACTACTACTACTACTACTACTACTACTACTACTACTACTACTACTACTACTACTACTACTACTACTACTACTACTACTACTACTACTACTACTACTACTACTACTACTACTACTACTACTACTACTACTACTACTACTACTACTACTACTACTACTACGACTACTACTACTACTACTACTACTACTACTACTACTGCTACAACTACGACGATGAGGAGAAGGAGGAGGACGGCGTTTACCGCTCCTACTAATGTTGCTTTCCTAGAGGCTCCAACTCCTAGGTCGGGTCGCACTGGGATAATGTTGTTTTCAATGTCGGCCCGTGTTTGGTTGGTTGTCTTGTTGGTTTGATCGTTTTCCACCGCCCACATAGGGCATCAGTGGGCAGTTCCTGCACACAAGGAACCTGTGCGTAACGAATTCACATAAATAATGCATGTGTAGATCCGTCACATAAGGAGTGCATGGAGGATGATGTGACTTTGGATGATGATGAGGCTGAGGGGCAGAGGGACGGATGAGGAGGATGAGGGAGTGACTCCCCAACCACCACTTCCGGCTGCTCCTCGGATTCCTCTGGCACTCCTGTGACATGAGCAAGCGACGGAAACTGTGAATGAGAAGACGATGGGAGAGGATGAGGATGAGGATGAGGAGGAGAAGGAGGCGGAGGAGAAAGATGAGGAGGATGAGGAGGAGGAATGGACGACGGAATATGATACCGAGGCGAAGAAGGGAAAACCGGATGAGGACGAGAAGGATGAAACGGGCACTTCATGACGATGCGGAGGGGTGGGGGCGGGAAGGAGGACGAGACGAAGGAAGAGGAACATAAGGAGGAGAAGGAGGAGGAGGAACCGCACGAAGAGAGAGAGAGAGAGAGAGAAAGAGAGAGATCGAGAGAGAGAGAGCTATACACATATACACATAAACGTAGGTACATATGTGTATATATGTATATATATATATATATATATACATATTGAGAGAGAGGGGGGGAAAGAGAGGGAGAGAGAGATGGAGAGAGAGGGAGAGAGAGAGAGAGAGAGAGTGAGAGAGAAAAAAAGAGGGAGAGGGCTAGAGAAAGATGGAGAGAGAGAGAGAGAGAGAGATGGAGGGAGAAACAGAGATAGAGAGAGAGAGAGAGAAAGGACACAACACGCGCATTGCAGTGCAATCGCTAACCAACGCAGAATTGCGGGTGCGAGTTATGCCCCCCAGCCCTGAATGGTCAGCCACTCTTGGTATTGGCCAGGGGCAGCCTCGGGCCCACGGCCGTAGCAGCCGCCCGCCTCCCACCTCGGGCCCTTCCACATAACGTTTCCCGACTCAACTCCTCCTCCCCCCCCCTCCTCCTCCTCCTCCTCCTCCTCCTCCTCCTCCTCCTCCTCCTCCTCCTCCTCCTCCTCCTCCTCCTCCTCCTCCTCCTCCTCCCACCTCCCCCTTCTCCTCCCTCTCCTCCTCCTCCTCCTCCTCCTCCTCCTCCTCCTCCTCCTCCTCCTCCTCCACCACTGGCTCCGCCAACCGCCTCCCCTCGCACCTCTGCAGCCAGCCTAGCCCAGCACTGCCGAGGGGGATGGGCGGGGAAGGGCAGGACTTGGGCGTTGGGCAGGGATGACTGGCGCCCCTTGGCACTGACCATGGGTGGGCTCGGGTCCACGGCCGTAGCAGCCACCCGCTGCCCACCTCAGGCACCCTTCAGCCTTCTTCCCAGCCGCCAGCCCAGCCTGTTCACTCGCACCCTGCACTCAGCCTGGCCAACTAGATGGGGTGGTTAGGACGGTGTGAGGGTGGGGGGGACGTCGGACGCCACACCACCGCCGGCCGCCACCAGGGATGGCGCAAACCTCCTCGACCCCCACTGGGCATCCCTGGGGAGCCCCCTTTTCCCCCTTGAGGTACCCTTGGCTCGCCTTGGCGAGTGAGGGTCCCCTGGGTGGGAGTGGGGGCTTACTCGGTAGGATCCCTACGGGGGGGCGAAGCTAAGCCTTTACGACATCTCACTTGCGGCAAAGCGGCCGCGGCCGCACCTGTCTCATCCCCACTGCCAGTGTCGCCAAAACCTGCACCCGCCATCAACCGCTGCTTGCCCCCACTCTCCCCTTCCTCCCTTCTAGAGTATAATGTCCTCCTCTCCCTTCCTAGGGGTGCTGGGTGACCTAGCTAACCTGCCCCCTGGGGGTCCCCTGCCCCTCGTGGTCCTTTTTTAACACTGTCCCTGACAGATCTAATTTCCCCCCCGCCCCCCCCCGGGAGCGACCGATATCTGGGGGTGGTGGTGGTGGCAACGTCGACGTTGACCTTCATGCCAACAGCGACGGCGACAGGAGGATGGAGGAGGAGGGAGGAGGGAGGAGGGAGGAGAGAGGCAGGAGGCGGGAGGAGGGAGGAGGGAGGAGGAGGAGGAGGAGGAGGAGGAGGAGGAGGAGGAGGAGGAGGAGGAGGAGGGAGGAGGGAGAGAGGAGGGAGGAGGGATGAGGAGGATGCAGGAGGAAGAGGAGGAGGAGGAGGACACGTGTAAACCCAAGAGTCATCACTGATGTTGGAATAAGCCCTCCCTCCAAACTCCCTCTTGATAGACCCCTACAACGGTTCACTTCCACTGAGGGAACTGCCTCCTTGGAAGACAACTGTTTGAAGACCCTGAAGCATGCCAAAACATTGTTCTCGGGATTCCAACACCACGGATCAACCTGACTGTTGCGTCTTGACGATGCTGAATCGTGCCAGAATGCCATTCCTGGGACTTCAACACCGCGACAAACGTGACTGTCGCATCCTCATGTGCCAGAATCATTCCAAAACATTTCTGGTACGCAGATCATGGGAATCCGTGAAACTCTTGTAACTTTTAAACACGAATGCGCGCGGCGCTAGGGCAAGAGAAACGCCCTCAATCCGTGAAGTTCTGGCACATGTGAAAACGAATGCACGCGGCGCTAAAGCGAGAACCACAACTTGAAAACGGTCCGCCCTCAATCCGTGAAGCTCTTGCACATGGTCAAGACGAATGTGCGCGGCGCTAGGGCGAGAGCCACATTTTGAAGACGATCCGCCCTCCATCTGTGAAGCTGTCGCCAATTTTTAAGCTTCAGGGTCGTAAGTGGTCAGGAAGTCTCAGGCGAAACGCCCAACACGCCCGAAGAACTGGTCCCGGGGTGCGGCAGGGAGAAGTTGTTCATAAGGACATGTAATGGAAGAGGACGAGGAGGAGGACGAGGAGGAGGAGGAGGAGGAGGAGAAAGGAGGATAGAGGAGCAACAAATGACATACGCATGAACTTTTAGAGGTCCGCGCTGGTTTCTTGTATCTGCGCGCGGATCGCGCTGGACCCCCCTCCCTGTCGCGCGGAGCGCGCCAGGAGCGGCGTCGGAGGCGCCGCATGGGGGGCCCAGCGCTGATCCAAGACTTCCGCGCGGAGCTCCGAAAGCTTATGCGTATGCCTCAGGGAGGAGAAGGGAGGAGAGAGGGGGGTGAAGGAAGGCGCCCGACGCGGGGGAGCCTGGTGACGGACCAGCGCTCGCGCGGCAGCACAGCCGAGAGGCGCGCGCGTCGCCGCCCTGGCAAGGGACCTCTGAGCCGCAGCGGCTGCCGCGCCGTGGATGAGTGGGGCGGGGGCCGCCGCAGCCGGCGCGGGCGACGGGCGGGCCACCTTCTGAGCAAGTCACCACGAGCAACGAACCCAATAGGAATTTTGTCAATCCCAGCGTTTGCCTTCGATTTCGGTCTCTGGGGGCTGTTGTCGGGCCCCAGGGCCTCGGGGCCATCAAAACGTGTTCCAGGGTGAAAGCTGGCCCCGGGAACAGAGTCGGGAGCTCTGGGGCCGGCGCGGGCGACGGACGGGGTCACCTTTTCTCTCAGGTACGCGCGACGCAAGAAATAACGACGGCCTGTTTTGAGTCTTTACCAAGCGTATTTAAAACGATGATTGGTAAGGCGGTCTGGGCCACTGGCTTTACATACCTGTGTGCATACCACCACGCGTCATATCGTTTTTTTTTTTTTTTTTTTTTGTTTTCTCTCCTTTTTTGTTGTTGTTGTTATTGTTCAACAACAATGTCAGAGTCGGGATGCTCACTGCAAAAGAGCGATTTTGCTTCTGGGGGCCTTTTGCCCGGCCCCGAGGCCGTCAGAAAACGACTCGGGATGAAAGCTGGCCCTCGGGAAGGGATCGAGAGCCCTGGGGGCCCGTGTCACGAACAAATGCGACGGTGGAGGAAGGCTTCTGAGCCCGTCGTCACGAACAACGAACATATCCATACCCATGCCCTCGCGGTCTGGATGCGGGGGCGAGATCCCATGGGTGCTCAATCCCATAAGGTACGCTCCGCGCGGGGCTTTTTGCGCAAAGGCGTTCTGTGTCGGTGGGGTCGCGGCCGAAGAGTCCGGACCGCGATGCCGTGGTATGGATCCTGCCCACGACGTCGGGCGTCCGAGCCAATATGGCCGCCGAGTGGGCCTGGGATCAAGAGCGTTCGGCTGCCGAGCGAGCTGGGCTCCTACTCCCCGCAGGGATCAAGCCCGCTTGGCTGCCCGTTCGCCGGCCGAATGGGTCCAATCGCCGAGCGGGCTCAGACAGGAACCCTGGGGTGCCCATGCAAGGGGGTTGCGATAGGAGGCAGGCCGTGAGACCTGCCCCAGCACCTTTATCCCTCCTTCCCTCTGCCCATCCTTCCCCGCCTTCTCCATCCTCGTCCTCCCCCTCCCTGCTCCTCCCTCCGTGGTGAGGTCTGGGAATTGAAGGCCTCCGCCCCATTCTGCCGTTGCCGCCGCCACCGCCGTCGTCGCCGAGGTCGTCGGTGCTGATCGTGGGCGTCGTCGTCGTCGTCGTCGTCGTCGTCGTGCGTCGTCGTCGTCGTCGTCGTCGTGCGTCGTCGTCATCGTCGGTCGGTCGGCGCCGGCATCGTCATGATTGTGGTCGCCGTCGCAGTCGCCGTCATCGTCGTCGTGCGTCGTCGTCGTCGTCGTCGTCGTCGTGGTCGTCGTGGTCGTCGTGGTCGTCATCCTCAGGGTCCATATCTCACTGGTAATTCTGTTTGGATCCTGCTGCTCCCATGGCATGCGATGTTAAAGAAACGTGCACGCCCAGTGTGACGTGCGACGTAATCGGAGATGCCCGAGCCAATACTTTTTCCAAATGAGGCACTCCCTGGGGGCATGGTGGCAAGATGGGCATATCCAGTAAGGTTCTCATCTAATGCGGCGGCCCGCTTGAGCCCCAGCGCCCAACTTTCCTGACCAGAGTTCGTCCGTACGATGGTGGAGATCCGATTCATGTGACAGAACGTGACGAAGTCCGGAATGACCACGTCACTGCGCGCCTCACAAGCTGCAGGAAGAATACGACAGAAAGAGAGAGAGAGAGCGAGAGAGACAGGAGGGAGAGAGATATACATAGACAGAGAGAGAGAGAGAGACAGAGAGAGAGAGAGAGAGCGAGCGGAACCAACATCCACAGCACAGCACACATCAAGAGAGCGGGGTCCTTCTGTACGCCCGTCCTAAACAAAGAGCGTGCTTTTACAAATGAGCCTATCAGAGCAGCCGATGCCACGTCTCTATCGAATCCCCAAGACGGCCCAATACAGGTACACGATAACCACGCCTCCGCGTCCTCTAACTGGGCCTTCCACGGGCCAGGATGACCAGCTTGTCCAGGAACCCATTTCCGAACAACATCGCACAATTCAGGACAACACTGGTAGTGTTGAAGGTCGTCCGAAAAGGCCCTCAATGTACACCCCCTCATGGAACCTCGCCGTCGTACGCCTGTCTGGAAAGAGCGCAACAGGACCGAGGTGACCAAGGGTTGGTCGGCGAAACCTCCTCCACCTTACACCTTTCGAAGGCGCCTCCGGCGATCAAAAGATACTGCATAGTGCACAACCATCTGTTAGTACGAATCTGGAGATACAAGAGCGGATACTTTTCCGAGCGAGTCCTCCGAAGCTGAGCACGAACCTTGTCCTGGACAGTAAGATGTGCCAGAGGAATGCCTGGAACCGTGCTATCCACATACTCAAGGTGACTGGTACGTGGTCAATCCAAAAGTGGATGAAACATCATGCTCCCATCCAGCAAGAACTGAACATGATTGATAGCTCGACCAACAACTTTTCGCCGTGCCAGAAAACGAAACTTCGGGGCATGGGGAAGAATACGAATGTCGACTAAGTCGAATGGTTCTCAAACAAACGCACCTGTCAACATACAACAACTAAGCACATGACAAGGACCATCGGTTGGGACCCGCAGAACTTCCTTACACTGCTTGAAGAACGGCTTTAAAGACCGCACCCAACTGCAGACGGTACTGAAGGACGGAAAGGCAGTTACGGTGGAACATCCACATGGTAGTGGGGATTACAAAAGACAGACATGGCAATTGCCGAACACGCTGACATAATTTTACCATAACATCATCTGGAGCGACTGTATGAACAGATAATCCAACCCAGAAGCAAACTACAAGCCATGGAAACAGGAAGGAGGAGGAGGAGAAGGAGAAGGAGGAGGAGGAGCAGGAGGAGGAGGGGAAGGATTATGAAGGAGGGGAGAAAGGAAGGAAGGAGGTTCGTTGGTTGGCACCCCAGCGTTTGAACCGACCTCGACAGCAGAGGTGCCGCGGAACCTTGCGAGCAGCCAACAGCGATTTCCGCATCGCCCATTCACAGAGAAAGCGAGCCCCCTCCGGAGCGTTGGGGAAAGGATGCTTGGACAACCTGCGCTCGGAGGCGGGTCCCCCACTCAATCCAATGACGAACGATCGAGACAGGAAGGCCAAGGAAATGGTTCTCGGCGAAACCATCTCGACGAGGACCCCCGCACGTTCTCCCAGCCGCCTCATGTCACCGCAGTAGGCATCTGCGAGACCTTGGAGGGAGTAGGAGTCACCCAGGGAAGATGAGGGAGTGCATTCTGGCCTGTCTCCGCGCGGCCTTTCGGAGCAGGAGTGTGCGCAGCGGATCCTCAACATGCACTCGCCTCAACCCAGCCCAGCCCAGCCTTATCCAAGCCCGCCCTAACCTTCAGGCCTTATTATCATCGTTTCTTCCATCTCACTTCTCCTCGTCCTCCTCCCTTTCCTCCTCTTCGTCTCCTCCTGCTTCTCCTCTATCTCCTGCTCCCCCTGCTCCCCCTGCTCCTGCTCCTGCTCCTCCTCTTTTTTTCATCGATCTTTCTTTCTTTCTCTCTCTCTCTCTCTCTTTTTTTCTCTTTCACACTTCTCATTCCTCATTTATCCGCCTCCTGATGCCGATTAGAAGACGCGGCGGGCTGGCGGCTGCCTTGCTGACGCCGAGCCCATCCCGGTTGTCGCGCTTGCAGACGCTGGCGATGCTATCCTTGGAACTGCCGTCCTCAGCTCGCCACCCGGCGCACTCGCGCTGCTGCTCCTACTGTTGCTCCTCGTTCTCCCCCCTCTGCGCCTCCTCGGTTCACTCATCCTGCCCTCCTTCTCCTCCTCCTCCTCCCCCCTCTTCTCCTCCCCCTCCCTCGTTACCCATCCTTCTTCTTCTCCTTCCTCATCCTCCTCCCCTTCCTCCTCCTCCTCCTCCTCCTCCTCCTCCTCCTCCCTCCCCTCCCTTCTCCTTCTCCTCCTCCTGCCCCCTCCTCCTCCACCATCTCCCAACCTCCTCCTCCTCCTCCTTTTCCTCCTCCTCATCCTCCCCCCTTCCGCCGCCAAGAAGTCCTACAGTCAACTAAACATTCCGGTATGAGAACTCGTGGCCACACCGCGACGACGGCGACGGCTGCGGCGACAACGATGACGCCAATGCCGGCAACGACGGATGACGGCGACCATGACACCAGCGAGTGTGCGGACGACGACGGCGGCGGCGGTGGCAGCGGCGGCGACCGCGAAGGCGACGGTGGCTATGGCGGCAGCGCAAGCGAAGGCGGCGAGGGAGTCGACGACCGCGGCGGCAAGGGAGACGGCGACGACGTCGGCGAGGGCGAGATCGGCGACGGCGACGACCACTGCGGTGACTGCGACGGCGACGGCGGCGACAACGGCGACGGCGATGCCACACCTTTGTTTTCTGGTCGAGCTGCTGGAGGGCTCGCACTCGGTAGGAATGCAGTGCTGGAGCGCACGCCGTGGGCTGCTGGAACTCGCTTCCTCGGTGAAGATGAAGTGCTGCATAGCATCCATGTCATTGGCATTGACTGCTGGAGCGCTCTCGCTCGATCAAAATGGTACGCTCAAGCGACACCCTGCTCAGGGATTCCGGATGGAAAACAAACGGGGCGGCGGGAATGGATTGGGAGGGGAGTGGAGGACGCGGGTGGCGGGGGTGCTAGAATTGTGCTCACGCCTCGTTCGCAAAGGGGCCAAGGGCGGAGTGTGGATCAATGCGTGAAAATCACCGCAGATATTCCCCGATACATGGCGAATTTCGGAAAACCTGAACTCAAAAACGTTTTCATCTATTGTGGGCGCATTTTTTACTTCCGCCAGCTTCCGCCGGCTTCCGCTGGCGGAAGCGGCCTTGTTTGACTTCAGCTGACCTTGCGCCGGCCTTCCGCCGCCTTCCGCCTCGGAAGAGATGCCAACTCCTTCGATCCTTGAAGGCACGGACTTTTTTGGAACGCCCCACATGCACGTGCGCCTATCACTGCGACTGGGAGCAGTCTTCCGCTGACTGTAGGAGGCTTCCCAAGGAGGCCCCACAAAAACTTCCAAGAGGCCTGTGATCCACGACCCCAGCGCGGTTGCAACATGAGCAGAAGACCATTAGAACCACCAAAAGTACGTATTTATGTTCGCCCCCATCGTGCCGTTGTATCGCCGTGATTGGGCCGTCACTTCACCTCTGTTTGGGTCGGCCCGCGGAAGCGCGTAATCCCAAAACGCACAAGCTGCAGACGAGTGGCCAGGAGCAACAAAACGCAGCGTAATGAAAACGACAACGTGTAGAACACAAACCCTCAGGCCACAGACCAGAAATCGTACAACTCGAGAGTGCAAGGTGCGTGCGAATCTACCGAGTGGGCAAACGACAATGCAAGAACGTATACCCATCAACCACCTGTAGGACCTTAAATCTGTAAAGACGCGTGTGCACTCCTACATCTCAAACAAAGGAACGCCTGCGGCTCTCAATGTGCAGCGCGTGCACCACGCGTGAGACCATTTGCCATCAACATCCCTAGAACGCAGAAGCCATTTGTGTTCGTACTGCTGTAGGTGCGTACGTCATGCATTTGCGCCTTGTTCTTGCGTGGCAGAGCGCGTGTTTACATTCCCACGCACACTCGATTAGACGTGTGTCTGGGTGCCAACATATCGTGCTGGAAGAAAATCAACGTCCTCGGCGTTCTCGCCAGGGTGATCGTCATCCCTGCCCCGTCAAATCAAGGCGAGATAAGACGTGGAGCAAGCAAGAACACGATCTGACGCAATGGGACGCCTGTAAAGAAACCAAGAGGACCATGACCGTGAACAGTGAGGAGGCGTAAGATAATGAATCAGGATGAGGCAGGGGCCGTCTCCTGCCACCAGGATGCTACTCGATGCGCTTTTGAAGTGCGACCAACAAACATAATTATGGATGCTGCGTTGCAGTTCAACTTCGTTCAACAATGGGTCTGAAGAAGGGAACGGGTGGAAACAATTGTGGAAGCGCGCCGTAGGATGAGCAAGATGAGGAAGAGGAGCGCAAATAACAGAGCGGGCGAAAAGGATCTGAACAGGCTGCGATCGATCTGGCTGTGAGCAGTATTGTGCTGACGCGATATGAATACACGAGTAGCTGTTGCTTAACCTTTCTTAGGCCGTGCGGATGGTAATCCAGGGTAAGCGTAGAACGACACGCGTGTGACCCATGAATAGTTCAGCATGCCACGGCAAGCCATAACATCAAAGGCCGTGTGGGACAACCACTTCTCCTCGAAAAGACCTCGTCATAACCCTCGTACAACGCAAGGGAAGATAGTATCGACAAGAAACCGTGCCCCTCGACTGGAGAATTTCGTGAAGGTGGCCTGTACGTGCCTCCTCTCTCCAACGGTCTCGAACTGCAGAGATTTCGCAGAAGTCCAAGCCACCACTCCGGGAGTGAGGCCTCTTGTAGCTGGGCTGAACTGAAGGCCCACCCAAACTGACTGAAGGGAGAGTGCGGCTTTGCCTTCAAAGGCTCGCTCTGGGGGGCCCATGGAGCGCCAAAGAGCAGGAAGATGAGCCCCATTTTGCTGAATCGTCGAGCCCAGCGAGCCGATGAGAAGTCGAGAGGGCGACCACCGCGCTCTACTCCTCGTCGTTGTCCTCGTTGATGTTGAAATACCGCAGCTCGTAGGAGGTCTTGTTGGGCGCCACCACGCGCAGAAAGTCGCGCAGCTGCTGCATCTTGAGGTACTTCTTGGCCAAGTACTTCAGGTACCTCTTGGAGAAAGGAGCCTCCGCGTTGATCTGAATCTTGGCCTTGTCCCTCGACACCGTGACCTTATCTCCCAAGTTTCCAGTCTTGCCATCGACCTTGATCCGATTGTTGAGGAACTTCTCGAGGTCCTTGGTCTCGATGATGTTATCATCCGCTGGCTGCTGGCAATCGACGGTGAACTTGAGCGTCTGCTTCTTACCCTTGGTAAGGACCTTCTTCTTCAATCCTTTGATTGCCATGTCTGCAACGGTTACCTGGCAATATGCGGCCGGGGCTGACAGCAAACAATGCCCGATACCCCAAATGGCTTCAGCTCCACGGCGGGAGAGGAAGAGTAGGACAGTGAGGACAAATACCCATATCTCCTATGGAGTATTTTTCCCGGGCAGGGCAGCGGCCCAAAAATGTAGCAGAAACGGTGAGCATCTGATTTTTCTCGTGTCCACTCGAGGGTCGCGCCCTGCGCAGAATCATTTGCCCAAAACTGTGTACTGGCCGCAGGAGACCTCAGGAGGCACCTGGACACCACAGGAGGCTCTGGACTGGCAGACCTAACTTAATTTACAACAGGATCGTGGCCCAGGCAACGCGGACCCAGCGTAATTTGCGATGGAGCTTGGCCCTGAGCGTGCGGACGCAGCGTATGTAATTTACGAGAGATCGTGGCCCAGGAACTGTGGATCCGGCGTAATCTGCACTGGATTGTGGCGCTGGGAGCGCGGAGCCAACGAGATTCAAAAAAGATCGTGGCGTTGGGAGTTCGGACCCAGCGGAGAAGACTCACCGAGCAAGGTGGGCCGTTCCCTGTCGCATTCAGTGGCACGTTCCATGGTGCGTTTCCTTGCGCGTCCCCTGGCTTGCGCGTCCTCTGGCACGTCTGCGGTGCGACCCCCGGCATGTCTATTGGCGCGCCTCATGGCGCGTACGTGCGCGGCACGTCCCTGGGCACGCTCCCTTGCTCGTCTCCTGGGGCGTCTCTCTGCGCGCACCCTGGCGCGTCCCATGGCACGTCCCCTGGCGCGTTGCGCTGTACGTCCGGTGTCGCGTCCCACGTCGCGTCCCTTGCTGCGTTCCTTGACGCGTCCCCTGGCACGTCGCGCGCCACGTCCCTTGACCCGCCCCGTGGCGCGTCCCCTGGCTCGTCTCCTGGCGCATCCCCTGGCGCATTCCCTAACACGTTTCGTGGTGCATCCCATGGCACTTCCCTTGGCACGTTTCCTGGCGTGCCCCCTGGCACTTCCCCTGTCACGTCCACTGGCGCGTCCCGTGGCACGTTCGCTGGCTCGTTCTCTGGCGCTTCCCCATTACACGTTCCGTGGCGCGTTCCGCACCGCGTCCCTTGGCACGTTCCTTGGCGCGTCCCGTGGGACGTCTCCTGGCATGTTCCCGAGCTCGTCCCCTGGCGCGTCATCTGGCACGCCCATTGGCACATCCCGTGGCGCATCTATGCCACGTCCCATGGGTCGTCCTCTTGCACGTCCCCTGGCACGTTTCCTGGCGAATCCCCTGGTGCGCCCTGTGGCGCGTCCGTTCGCCCCCTGTCGGTCCGTCTCCTTTCGGCACTGGATTGGAGTTCGAGCTCGAGCTGGTTGAGCGCCCCGCAAGACGCTTCGACTATAACCAGCTCTGGGCGAGCCAGGCGTTCAAGCAGCTCGAGCTAAAATTCCAGATCACTTCGGTGAACGTCTGGACGCCAAGGACGACTGCATGAATCGGATCAGTTCAATGCAGCACGGCACAACACGGTACAGAGCAGCGCAACACAGCACAACCCTTGCCATGGTATTATCGTCATTGATATCATCAACATTGTCACTGCCCGTTGCCCAAGTTAGGGCATTTCTATAACCCTCTTCTGGGCTCATCTGGACCAACTTGTCGTGGCGTTTCTTTTCTGTTCATTTTTTGTTCAAATGGTGGGCTCGCACTCTTGTTGCATCGAGGAGACGGTCGATATCTGTAAGATGCGGCGCAGCACCTTACACTCCTCAAAGGAGCTGCCCGCTTCCGCCGCGAAGCTCGTTTGACAGACCCTGGCCAACGCGCCTTCAGCCGAGAGCGAACGCAGGCACGGACCAGAACGAGGAGAAGCTCCTCCTCCTTCTCCTTCTCCTCCTCCTCCACCTCCTCGGCTCCCGTTCCTCCTCCTCCTCCGAGGCGGCAGAGCAGATCGTGCGCGGTCAGCACCTACAAACCAGACTGCCGAGGCGTTCGACGCGCCCCGAGACTGCCAAGACGTGTGATCTGACAGCCTCGGGCCCGCGGCGAATGGGCTCATGTTCTTGCCCAACGCGTTTGTGAAGTAGGCCAGCTGGCAATGTCCACGAGGACGGCCGTAAATAATCGCGGCCAACGCCGCAAACGCCAATGGTCTCCTACTGTGAGTAGATAGCGGGGATGCATGCGGTTACCACGGCGCGGGTGGCCAGCAACTGCCGTAGCCGAAGGCCACAGCCGCGGCCGTCAGCGAGCCAACTCCCACGTCGCAGCCAAGCAGACGCAGGACAACGTCGCCACGGCGCGGGTGGCGATCAGCTGCCGTAGCCAGGATACAGTCTGCACGCGCTGTCCCAGAGGTGGCGCGGAGACGATGTTGACGCTCCGCTCGAGCGAGCTCAGGGCGCCCTGGGGAGACCTTCTGCACACGGCGATGACAGACTGCAAGGCGCTGCTCGTCATCAGGAGAGGCGCATGCGCGCGCACTGAAACATCTTCCAGAGCCGACGGATCCAACAACAAACGCAAATGTTGGGGTGGCTCCAGACAGCCGCATCCTCATGGGTGCCGCGCCCCGCGGCTGTGCTGGTCTTGGGGGCATCCTGCCTGCTGCTGGCGGGCCAACTGTGTTGAGGAGACTCGCTCGTGCACCATTTCCACGCCCGTTACTTTATTTTGGCTGCTTCTCTCTCTATATATATATCCCGCGCTCTGTCCGGTACTGCTGCCCTGCGCTGGCGTGGCGCAGGCCCAGCGCAGCTTTCCCGAACTGGCTCGTCTGGCCGTGCCGCAGGAGACCAGCCTGTCAGATCGAGGGCGCGAAAAACCAGCGAGAGGGAGGCGATGCGATGAGATGCGACCCGAATTCCAGCCCATACGGGATTGTCTACTAAGAGGGTAGGCGCATGGGACACGCAGCCCCGTACGCCGCTTCACTTATCGTGTTCGTAAGACTCATCTGGCCGTGCAGCGGAAGGCCAGCAAAAACTCTGCCTGCACTTTGGCCTGGGATATCTCCGTCGTTGCCGACGTTCCCCCTTGGTTGCCACCGCTCACACTCACGCCGACGCTCACACTTTCACTAGCACCCATGCCGATACCCCTCTCTGGTGTCCCCTTTTGAGGCGATGGCTGAATGGTGGCATGCTCGACCGCCTGCCCTCTCTGGGAGGGGCGGGGCCAGCGGGGAGAAATGATACTGGGGCCCGCGCCGACGCGAGTCGACTACAGACGCACTCTCGTCCTCCATCCCTTTTCCTTATCACGTCCTTCTCCTCCACCTCCTAGATCCAAAATGCCTAGTGCATATCGTTCGCTTGGGAATGAAACCAACGATAATGAGGGCTGCCAGCTTCCCAACTGGTGGGAAGTGAATTCCGCAATGCGATATTGCCTACTTATGTTCTCTACTGGATAGTGCGCGCCTATCGCGATGATTCTCGACGCTGGTGACCACCAGGACCTGTGACGATCTTGGCAACCAGTTGCCGAAAATAACAGAGCACACGGCACAACAAAAAAAGAGCCGACCTAACACGTCACGAGTGACGCCTGGCCACTTCCAAAGCGCGAAGCTACCTACCATGGGCTGCCGATGTCTAGTCGCGTAGCACCACGGGCCTCGTCCACCTCCAGAGCGCGACCATTCCCCACAACAAGCATGAGGATGGGTCGCACGACCGCCCATACACCTGCATAGCAACCACTCCAGCTACCATCTACTGGGTAGGTGCGCTGTCCAGCATCGTACACAAGCGTAAAAAGAAGCGGCGGTCGGATTCGATACGCTGTCCAACGAGAGCTGCTCGCGCATTCGCGCCCAAGCAGAGCCTCGGGGCAAATTCAAAAATGGCATGGCGTGATGGATACTGACAAGGCCTCTCTCTCCCCCTCTTCCTTCCTCGATCCTACGTGCTCCTCCTCCTCCTCCTCCTCCTCCGCATACGTGTTTCCTCCAGACATTCGAATCGCATGTGGCGCACGGAGCGCCCACTTACGGTGCGGGCAGCCCGACGAGAGCTCGACTGCTCAAGGCAGGCTAGCAAGGATCGAGGCATCATCGTAACGGCCTGAGTGATATCGAATCATGGGCCGCTCCTAAAAATCAGGAGCTCTCTGGTCCGCCTCTGGGCATATCTCATCTCCTCCTCCACATCACATTCTCCATGCCAGGCGCGTGGCGGCTTGAGCGAGGTCCTCACCACGAGGGAGCGAAGGCGGCGAGCACCACGTCTGCCCGGTCGCTGGACTCGAGGACGCACCAGCACTCTCCGGAGCCCACGCCCCAGACCCGCACCTGGCCGTCCCTGGACGCGGTGACCACTGCCCGGCCGTCCGGAGAGAACTTTGTCGAGTCCACCCCGCGCGGGCAGGTCGACAGCGTGCGCAGGCACCTCCCCGAGTCCGTGGCCCAGATCCGAGCTGCGCCGTTCGTGGTGGCGGTGACCACCGCCCGGCCGTCTGGCGAGAACTGGGCGGACGTCGCCTTGGACTTCGCGTCCGCGCCAGACGCCCACAGCGTGCGCAAGCACGCGCCCGAGCTTGTGCTCCAGATCTTCGCCGTACCGTCACCAGAGGCGGTGACCACAGACTGGCCGCTCGGGGAGAACGCGATGGACTTCACGAAGCTGCTGTGTCCGCGCAGCGTCCACAAACACTGCCCCGAACTGACATCCCAAAGCCTCGCCGTGTTGTCGCTGGACGCCGTCGCGAGCACGTGGCCGTCCGGAGAGAACGCTGGTGAGCTCACGGAGCCCCGGTGGCCCAGTAACGTGCGCAAGCACTGGGCCGAACTGGTGCACAATATTCTTGCCGTCCCGTCTGCGGAGGTGGCGGCGATCGACTGACCGTCTGGGGAGAACACGGCGGAATTCATACCCTTATCGGGGCCCTGGAACGTGCAGTGGCATTCGCCTGTGCTGGCACTCCAAGTCTTCACCGTGGCGTCCCCGGAAGCTGTGACCACCGCCTGCCCATCTGGAGAGAAAGCGACGGAGAACACACAGCCAGTGTGGCCCCGCAGCGTTGCTAGGCACTCGCCAGACGCCACGCCCCACACCTTCACCGTCGCGTCGAGGGAGGCGGTGGCCACGACGAGGCCGCCCGGAGAGAACGCGGACGAATACACGCCCCTCTGCCCTGCCAGCACGTGCAGGCACTCGCCCGAGGTCGCGTTCCAAAGCTTCGCCTCCCCTGCTATGCCCGTGGTTAGCACCGGCGGGAGCGGGGACGCCACGAGCGTCAGCACGTCGCCGTCGGCCACTCCGAGGTCGCCCAAGGTGGACTGCCCAGCCAGCTCTGCCGCTCCGAAGAAGGCACGGTTCCAGACGCAGGAGGCGTTGGCGTCGCGAGATGAGACGTGAGCCAAGATGTCCTGCAGCACCCACGCAGAATTCGCCGTGATGGCTGCTTTGCGGCCAGCGAAGCCGAAAGCCACGTTGATACGCACCTGGGCCATGATATTGCAACGAGAGGCGGCCACGAAGAGGTTCAGCTTGGCGAACCTACACCAAGAACTCGAGACGAAAGCTCGAACCAAAATGGCTTGAGCCAACATAGCTGCGTTTTTTAGTGCTTTCTTGTTTTTTTTTGTTTTTGTGTTTATGTTCGGTTTTAAGGGGGGATTGTCAAGGGGTCTTGGATCTAGGATTGGACACCGAAGCCGCGAACAAAACGCGCGTCGCGGCTGTGTTTGTGACGCCTGCAAGTGTGGGTCCTCCTCCTCCTCCTCCTCCTCCAAGTCGACCCCGCGGTTTGCCCTGGAGCGCACTCTGACAAAGGGTCCGGAACGAAAATAACTGCGGCGACGGGGGCCCTCTGGCAGGCCCGACAAGTCCCAAAACAGAGTCAGAGGCTTCCCCCCCCTCCCTTCCCCCCCCCCCCGAGGGGCAACGTTGGGGGGACCAGCTCAGGGGGGGAGGGGAACGTCGAGCTGGAATCGGCGATACATCGCCGGTAGATCGGCGACAAGCACCCGATGGCGAATCCGCAAGTTCCTGGGCGCGGTGGGCTATGAGGCCCCTGTCGGGAAGCAGTTGGCGATTGGGGGTCGATGCATCCCCCCCGAGCCTGTCCCCACCGAGTGTTGCTGCCCCTGACTCTCCCTGGGGGGGGGGGGGGCGGGGAGGCCGCCAGGCTGAAGAGAAGGCACCCACAACTGTTCTCCGACAACCCTCCTGGGGGCCGCCCTTTACCCGCGACGTCGCCTCCACCGGGAGGCGCGGGGCGCGCGGCTGCTTGCTTCTGCGCCGGGGGTTGCCAGGGAAGATGGCGGCGGACAAAAGGCGGGCTCCGAAGCGACATCCTGCTCGGTGGGGGGCGCCTGCCGAGCCTGAGCGCGACATCGAATCGGATCGGAAACGGGTCGGGTCGCCAGCGAATCGTCCCGAATCCAATCGCAATCGGAACGCCGCGTCCGGCTCCAGCTGGCTCCGGCCGATGCCGGTGAATCGAACCGAACCGAATCGAATCACAATCGCGGCCCCAGCCGGCGAATGGCGGCGCGCACGAAGGGGTGGCGCAGAAGCAGATGGCAGGTAGCCTCTAGGGGCTGGTGGAATGCTTGGTTCTAGAACGGCTTGTCAGAGGCCCTCATGGGTTCCAGGAGGCCTTCTTAAACGCACCCAGGCGCTTCTTAGAAGGCCCCTGCATTCTAAGAAGTCCTCTCGCCTTCTTGGAAAGCCGCCCCCCTCGTGCCACCCCCTTGCGCGCGCCACGAATGTTGAGACGAGGGCAGGGCGACACCAGGCTGAGTTGAGCTGGGAATCTTTGGGCGCTGGCAGGTCTGGAGGATGCAATCGCCGCGCTTCAGGGCGCTCTGGAACGCCCCGAGAAGATTCTGGTACGCTCTGAGGACCCTGGAGCCATTTATCTGAATCTTGGGCCTGCCCTGTAGGCCTTTCCCCCCTCCTCAAATTCCTCCTCCTCCTCCTCGCCCTCCTCCTCTGAGGGGAAACGTTCAGGGGAACCGGCTCAGAGGGAGAAACATCGAGCTGGAATCGGTAGTAAATCGCTCGAAGATCGGCGACAAGTACCCGATGGCGAATCCGCATTAGTTCCTGGGCGGGGTGGGCTATCAGGCCTCTATCGGCGGTCCACAGGCGATTGAGGGTCGATGCGATTTCTCCTAAGCCTGTCCTCCTTACCCCTGATCCTCCTCCTCCTCCTGCTGCTCCTGCTCCTCCCCTTCTTCTTCTCCTCCTCCTCCTCCTCCTCCTCCTCCTTCTCCCCTTCTCCTCCTCCTCGCACGTAGCCGCGGCGCCGCAAGTCTCCTTAGCCGCGACCGCCACGCCCGCGCCGGAGAGTGGCCCGTGCCTGAGGCACTAGCCCTTGAATTTGCTCGGCGGACAACGTGCCCTGCGCGTTAAAGCGAGCACGTGCCAGGGTGTGAAGGATGTAAGCAGCAGCAGGAAGGTCCAAGACATTCGGACGGGGAGGGTCAGCGAGAAAGCCAAACAGAGCGACAGGACAGGATGGTAGCCCATAACCGATCACACGGGTCCACGACTGACGGAAGCATGGACATTCCGAGAAATAGTGTTTAAAAGTGTCGCGGCCATCACAACCTATAATGCATTTCGAGCGTGCCTTACTGTGCATGCGCTCCGATGTCGTCCACGCCGCTGCGAGAGTTTTCCACGCAGCTTGGGCGACATGGAAGGGGACTGCCTTCATCAAGGAGCAATAAGTCTTCAGATCAACCACGGCAAACCTCGGACCCAGCTCGGGCCACACGGCGGACAGACGGGCACGAAATTGCTCCTCGAGACAGGCAGGGTACAGGCTCTCGCGAATAGCTCTAACAACAGGGCCTTGGATTTTAGGACGAGCGGGAACAGCGGCATCAGCAGCGGAGGCGCTCGAGGCACGCAGGAGGTCAAGGGCGGAGGAAAGTCCACAGGCACCTGCTTTCTTCCACGGGCGGATCGAGGCGAATCCTTCAGCGGCGACTTTCAGGTTGACCACAAGCGGGTCGGCCTCCCAGAAGCCAGGGCTGAGGAGGCCACGCTTATTCGTAGCCAAATCCGCAAGAGCCAGCTGAGGAGTGGCCGCTTCGAGCTTCCTATACAAGATCCTCCATTCGGGAAAAGTGACTAAGGCTGAGCGTTGCAGCGTGCCCAGCGACAGAGCTAGGACGGAGGCGAGCGGTGGGCCACCCCACCTATCCAATTCAAACCAACCCGCGCGCGAGAGGCAGCAGAATGGGACTTTGAACAGAGACGAGAACAGAGCGTGCTCACAGCGAAGCGTGGGGCTAGCAAGACAGGATGGCGAGAGAGGCAGCGGGAGAAACTGGGCAACGTATGAGAGGACAGAGACGCATCGCTTATTATACAGGTAGGTTGTGATGGCCGCGGGGCAATTCGCAGCACTAGTCTGGGCCGCGCGCCTCACCCACTTCAGGAGTGGGGCCTTCCAGCTACGGTCTCCTGCAGCTGGACCAAGAATCACGCCCAAGTAGAGCGCCGCGTCTATGATCTGAAAGCCAGCCCATTCAGGTATGTGAGTGTTCAGCCAGCAGCGATAACGGCCAGCAAGTTCTGGGGTAAAAGGTCCAGCCAATGGAACTATGCAGCACTTGCGAATCTTCAGCTCGAGGCCCGCAATTCTTTTACTCATATCAAAGATCACTTTGAACTCCCGCAGCATACCCAACTCATGAATGACGCCTCCCACATCATCAGCGCAAGCACGCGCCAAGCTGCGAAGACGCGAAGCCACCTCAATCCTCTCATGCATGTCTGCTAGGAAAGCGTGAGCTGCCAGCGCGTACAGCACGCCAGAGGCCGGGCAGCCCTGGAGCACCCCGCTCGTGATCAGGTAAAGAAGGACCTTCACATCAGCAGCAGCGCCAAAGCACCGAATGTGATCATAGATAGCGTGGAAGAAGAACAGCATGGGACCAGGCAAGCGCAACCTCGCCAGGACCATGAACACCCATTCGTGCGAGATGGATGGGAACGCCTGGCCGTAGTCATATGTAACGAGAGCAGGTAGCTTGAGCAATGGCGAAGGAGCCGATGAAACAATCCGTGCCTGTGTGTCCATTTCCAGTATGTTGACGCCGAAGTTCCTGCCTGGGACGAAGCCCCGCTGAATGAAGTGCACGAACTTCGAGGTGGCCTTCCCGAGGCCATGCACGACGACCGATGTGAGCACCTTGTTCGAAGTGTTCTTGAGCCCCAAAGGCCTCGTGGAGGACGCATCCCTCGTGATGGACCCGTCCAGGTCACCTTCCTCAGAGCCCTTCGGGATGAATACTCCTCGGATCTCATTGAAGCTCCCATAGAGATGCTGCCCAGAGAGAACCCACCAGAGTGCCTTGTCCAAGACCACCGCCCCATAAGGGTGATAACGCCAACCTGCATAGGGGACCCCGTCAGGACCTGGGGCACTGTTTGCAGCGCGCTCCAACTTTTGCTGAATATGATGTTGAGTCGGTGGCGGGAGGTCCCGAAGAAGAGGACACTGAGGAGCAAACTTATCAAGATATTGTTCAGCTGCTGTTCTATCGATCTCACGAGCTCGAAAGACCTGTGACCAGTACTCTGCCAGTCGCGCTAGTTTTTCGGCAGGCGACGTGCTGACCCCTCCAGCGTGTCGAACAGCAGCAAGGGACATCCTGCGGTCGAAGGGCGACCACAGGCGAGCGCGGGCAACCGCGCCTCGGAGACGACGACGGAGCTTGCTCTTCTGGGTCTCGTCTTCTGTTTTGGACAGCCTCCTCTTAACCTCCCCCTCCTCCTTGTCAGCTATCTTCTTATGGGTCTGGTAGGTGTCCAAAAGGTACTCGTTGGGGGTCTTGAGGGAGACCTTCTGGGAGATAGGATCTAGCTCCAAGTACTTGTCTCCGAGGGGGTGCGATCCTAAGATACGACCAGCCAGAACCACGTCCTGGCGCCAGACAGCACGCGCGATGCTCTTGAGCACCACGTGCCGAGCGAACAGGTCGCCTGGGAAGCGCCTGATCAGCAGGTTCCTGACGTGCCTAGCAGCCTCCCTGATCATCCGAGTGTGGAAGTCCAGAAGCATGGGCGGGGTCATATACTCGTCCTTGGCAAGGTCCCAGATACGCTCCAGAAAGACCCGAAACTCAGGATGTTCGCAAACCGTTTTCGGAATCGGGATATCTTCCACCGGACGCGGAGGGCTGCTGGACAACTGGATAAATACAGGCGCATGGTCCGACACCTCCTTGGCGTCCAGGACCTCGGCCATCTCCAGACACTGTCCTGCCGCATAGAGTTGATTCATCACCCAACTCGGGAATGAGTCGAAGCAGCGATCGATATATGTAAGTAGATGCTGTGCACTATGATGATGTGTGGGGTCGGGTACCTGTAGTTCCAGGAAGTCCTGAAAGAGCCGATTCCAAGGCCCATCCCTTTGTGAAACCCATTCTGTGAAAATCTCCGAACGCTCCCCAGGATGATCAAGGACGTGTCTGGGAGGCTCAGCGCCGATGTTAAAGTCGCCGATTACTACCACAAGCCGCGAGAGCGGCTTCTCATCAGCCTCTCGCCGCAAAAGGCTGATGGACCTGAAAAGCTTCCTCCTCTCCTCCGCCGAGAACCCAAA